TTGTAAATAATCGGTGGGCCCCAATTTTGAGATGCCGGAGAGGCCGGAGACGGCATCATAGATCGTAAGATGGACGGTCGATGAGGCGTGCGTTGAGTCGCAACTGCCTCGCGCAACCAGAAAGAAGCATTCTGATTGAGAACCAACAGAACGGTGTGGTGTTGTAATTGCGTTTATGAGGGAAAATGGCATTTAGAAGTTCTTATTTATCCATAAAATGAATTTTAAAATCTTTATTTTTCTTCTACACGAAGATAGAATCGTCTTATCTGTGTACGATTTTACCTGAAGTCGTTTTCCAAAGGAACGAACTTAATAGTCATTCAGCAATATCAGCATGGCACAAATGTACAAGCCAATTAAATTAATTAATGCCAATTCTGCCGTAAACAGTCAGTTATAATTATAATAAATATGTCAATAGCAGGAAAAACAACCAAAAAATTATTATGTATACGTACGTTCTAGCCACTCAATTTGGTAGCATTCACGCATACTCTACGTACTGCATTTTGTTGAATATATATATATATATATATATACTTTTTAATAAACTTATTTGAAAATATTAATGCTACTAATATTTTCTATAAACCTAATTAAATTTAAGAAAGTTTGATCTTCACAAAACCTTAGACAACTTTTTTTTAAGACAGTTGAGCATGTATGTTAAAAAAGGATTTTTTTTCTCAAAAGTTTGTTACCAAAATAATTCATCCAATATAGCTGCCTGCACATTAGATAATAATATATATATATATACACACACACACACACACACACACACACACACACACACACAGCTAATAATCAAAATGAATCAAAGGTGGATTGTTTCTGAAGTAGGTTATATGTGAAAATTTAGAGTAGATTAATCTGCTTCCTATAATTAATCATCAGGCCTGACATCTCCATTAAGTTACAACAGCATAGAAATATTCCAAAATTAACAAATTTATGAAACGACATCATTGGGTAAACACCTGGTGTGCAGGGTATGCAAAGAGGGGATTCGTACAATCAGTAACAATTCTCTTTCTCGGAGAAAGGTTGGAGCTTTATATTAGAGATGAAAAAGGTTACAATAATCATCAACCACTAGATGGCCTACAGAGTCGGGTGCTCGCTTGAGCCACACCATCGAAGAAAGAAGATTACAAACATGCTGGCCTAGTTCATGAGCAACCCTATTACACTCATTACAGTGGATATACTCAACCCTGTAAGCTCTAGTAATTTAGCCTCTTTTGGTGAATATATCTATTGGCTCAGATCTCATAAATTTTAAAAATCATTTTTCATAAATAAAATTAAGATTGAAAACCCAAAAAATAATGCCACAATTGGGTCCATATATGGAATATACAGTAATTATACTCATTGTTATATGGTCACAAGGGTCACAAGGCAAACTGAGATTCGAATCTTTATAAAGCATAACATGAGTAATTAATCATCGGTCAATCCATTGCTTCATATAAAGACACAAATGACAGCTTGTTCAACTGGAACGAAATTGTATAGGTGAACAATTGGTTAGATAGATGATGTGCCCTATTGGATACATTGGGATTGCAGCCAAATCACCATAAAGACTTTTAAGCATATATTACCTTTGGATTACGCTGCTATAATATCTAGAACTGGAAATAGAAACAAAATAAATGATGATCCATAGGGATCAGGAGAAATAGCTATACTGGCCCCTTGAAGTTCCGTTGAGCTCAAATTCATCCCTCGATCTCGACTATCAAAATGGCCGCTTTTAGTTCTCGAATTTGGCAATTTTGGCCTCGATCTCATCCCCTTCGACATGGCTCGCCACACGACGTAGTTCAGCCCCTATCTATCAGCACACTCTCGGCTAGGGTTTGATGCTCAACATGCAGCCAAAGTTAAATGTCTTTCTTGCCCTTCCCAAATATAGAAAATCGCTAGTCCAGACCGTCATGCGTGCTTGTTCCGGTGCATGCTCGCCATAGTCTTTTGCATCAGTGTCATGTGTTTTTGCATTATAAGTTTCTCGCGCCTATGGTTAATCATGTAAGGATGTTTGAAATCAAATGATCTTGCCGGAAAAATAAGGGTGTGTTTTGCAGCACTCGCAAGCAGCCTTCTGCATGTGAGCGAGATACCAAACGCCTCCCCGCCACTCCGCCCGCTAGAAGAAGCTCCACGAATTAATTGCACCAGGAGTGGAGGAGAGACTAAAAGTTGAAACATTAGGTTTGCTCGGCTTCTCACAATCTCATGGGCCTAGTAAGTGCATCCGATGTCCGATATCATTTCCCATGTGGGCAAGGGTGACGCCGACACGAGGCCATGTGGCGGATCAACTGCGGAGGAGTGGAGTGAGCCGGGTGATGAATATGCCGACTGGGTGAGCTATTGTCCGTCGCCCACGTCGGTTGGAGGATGAGATAGAGCCAAAATTGTAAATTAGATGACTAAAACGATCGTTTTGATAATTGAGGGACGAATTTGAGCTGAACGAAAAGTTCAAGAACTTAATATGGCTATTTCGCCAAAAAAGACCAAATGAGCCAAATTACAGGCACAGAGTTGTTTGTTTTCTCTCAAAAAGAGATGCTGATTAATTTGAGTATATACACAATCATACAATCAGTAAAACCATAACGTGATAATAAGCTAAGGAGCATGCCAAAATCAACGAAGAAGAGGTTAACACGAAGGTGCGGTACTGTATACATGTAAAATTGATGTTTTGCCAGCTAGGTACCACCTGTTATCAAGCAAAACCAATAGTTTACCAAAGTAATCATCTAGGATTTTGAATCATGAGCAAGCTCAGGAGTTGGATGCATATAGGTTATTTAGGAAATAACATATAATTTTTTTCCAAAGATAATGAATCACTTGTTGGACCTGTTTTATGTACGCTGGCTCTCTCATCCCAAATCCCTAGGAGCACTCAGCCCTAGCCCACTTTCTCTCCTCTCCCTCTCACTGAACTCCGCATCCATCGGCAGCAAGGAGATGGGGTTATCGGCTAGAGAGGGTGGAGGCGGAGAGGACGTGGTCGTCCGAAAGCGGTGGATCTCAACGACATCTAGGTTGAGTTCAAATGCCCCACCTGTATGATGAAGCGTGTGTTGTTCAAGATCGGCTACCACGACAAGCACCTCAAGGATTGCCACAAGGCTTAGGTTACCCTCTAGAAGGACCAGCGAACCCGAATACCAAAGGTGAGCGCATGAAGCAAAATGCGACCCCACCAGGACGCCGACGGCCCAACTATCGCTTTTAGGTTTCGTGGGATAAATTCTAGTTCCATACCGAGGGTTCAGCTTTGAATCGGCAGATATATCTTATCATTTTACTGTGCTGACATTCATGAGACATTAACACTTCCGTTTGATTCTGCTGATCTATGTGATCGTTTTGCTATGTGACATTTATGAGATATTATTGTTGTCCAATTTTACCATGTTATTGTCCCGCTACTAAAATGATGTTATTGTCTTGTGTGGAATTTGCTTGTGGCAATGCGCATTTATTTCCTTGTATCTACTCCTTTTAAATCTGATTGGTACTAGATTTAGTGGAGGGACTCCTAACACACTTGTAGTATGCAGATGATATAGTGTTGTTTGTTTAGAACACTGAGATTAATATTGCAATCTAAAGTTTTTGTTATTTTGTTTTAAGAGGTGTGAGATTTTGAGATCAATTGCCATAAGTTATAAGTTTTCAAAGTTGGTATAGTAAAGGAGGAGGCATGCAGAGAATTGTTGATGCTTTTAATTGCAAGCTAGGTGGTTTCAATGAGGTATTTTGGTCTTACTT